CAGTGTAGAATTCTGTGGTTTAGGGTGAACGCGCACCGGGTGAGAATAGCCACAAGACTCGCCTACACTATTCTCACTCCGGGTGAGAATAGAGGTGGCCCAACTGGAAAGAAATCTGGCATTATGAGAAGTCAGAAATTTGAGAAATGCATTCTTCTGAAGGAAGAACGTGTGGCAGTGGCGCTTCAACTTCAGTAACGGTGGCTGAGTTGGGCTGCAAAAAGACAGGAGACTCAAGAGGGCCAAAATGGGTTAAATGAGTGGATTACCCAGACTGTACTTTCGTACCCTTTCCTCTCTCTCTCCTCCCCCTCCCCCCCAAACACCTCAGACTCAGACAGAAGATCTAGATCTAAATCTCAGCCAAATCTGAACCTAGATCTGGAGGATATCAGGTACAGTGACCAGCAACAGTGAAAACTTCCCCAATGAAGATATAGATCTAGATCTACCCCGATTGTAGGCCAAGACAACAAAAAACCTAAATAATTTATTAAACTTTCTTAGTCTTAAGTCTTTCGAAGACTTGGCCAGAGCCGCGTCAGGTTATCGATATTAGGTAACCTTTAGATCTAAGTATCAATGACTTTTAGCGTTTTCAAATAAATGCCATGGGAAAACAATATCTAATAAAAGACATTAAATGCAAATACCTCATCTGTATCCCGTAAAGGGATCTCGATGGATCGACTTCCACCACCTGATGTAGATGCCATTTTCACGTCCTCCTGCTTATTCTTCCTTCCTCAAAGAAAGTTTGATCAAATTCGAGTGTTGTGTGTGTGTGCTAAAATTTAGCATTACCTCCCCTGTTCGTGTTTTTGCCTACTTTTAGCCTTTTAGCTGTGGTCACGTGATAGAAAGATCTACTTTCGTTTCGTGAACAACAAAATTTGGTCAAAATGACACTTGCTTCTAAGTGCAGTGCCGCTAACAACAATTAACCAAGTATTTGTTTTTGTTGATTTTCAAAGCTTTATTGTAGAGAAGGAGAAGGTGTGTAATTTGGATTTATGTTCGTATTTGCTGCTGAGTTTGCTTTGGGTTGAAATTTGTTAACAATAAGAGGTGAATAGGAAAAGGTTGCTACTTTACTTTACACAAGACTTGTACAATAAAAATGGTAAAAATAGAAAATCAATATTACTGTTGAACTTGTGTAAAACGGAATCACAAGGGAGCGAGAAAAAATTGCGTCTTAGACAGGGGAATTTAGTGGGAGATGGAGGGGGGGGGGGGAGAGATTGAAGAATTATATCGGACCATCCAAAATTATTGTGCGAGAATGGGGATGGGTGAGGGGGGACGGGGTCTGCCCCCGACAAACTTTTAATGAATTAATTTACCAGTCCGAAATATTAAAAAACTGGGGAAAATATAATTGATTCCCAAGGTTGAGGCATAGGCAAGAGTAGTCCCAGTCCGCTGGTCCGGTATTCTTCAATCTTACCGAGGGGGGTTACAAAAAAAAGGCCTAGCCGGTGGGATCAAGGGTCGCTTGTCCGGTCGGCAAGCTATCACAAGTGGTCAAAACTTCACTCCTCTCAGCTGCCATCCTCTCTGATAATGACATTGTCAGTCAGTCTTATTTATCCAATTACTACCAGTGCTTGCATTTCATAGGCCCACTGTTTGACCTATTAAAAACAGAAACATTTGAACATCTCCTTTGCTTCCACCCTTAGCCCCTCACATCAGTGAAACAAGCGCAGTCAACCAATGCCACCCCTCACTGCCATGTAACAACGATTTGAGGAACTCTTTTCTCGACTGGCTGTACGATCAGGGCGGCAGGCATTGATCAAACCCTTGGAAAGGAGTGGATTTTTCTTTCTGTTTCCGCGTTGAGCAGGTTTCCGTGGTTTCCGTTAAGGCAGGTTCGACTGTAATTCATTCTCAACTATGATACTCAATTAAAACCAACTTCTACTTTTTACACTGCTTGACTCTGCTAAAGACAACTACTAGATCTACAACTTACTACACTACACTCCTCAGACAATCGTATTTCTCTCTATAACAAGTGTGGCCTGTAAGGTATTGGAATCCATCGTCAGAGATCAGCTCATAAAACATTTCCAGCAAAATGATCTGTTTAGCCAGTGCCAACATGGTGGTTTCATGAGCGGCAGAAGTTGTTCAACCAACCTGTTAGCGGTGCTCGACCTATGGGCTTCAATCATTGAGGCAGATGGCTGTGTCGACACCATTTATCTAGACTTTGCTAAGGCCTTCAATACTGTCCCACACGAACGTTTGTTGACAAAACTGGAAGGCTATGGAATTGAGGGGCAGATTCATGCTTGGATAAGGGACTTCTTGACTGATAGGCAACAGTGTGTGGTTGTAAATGGAGAGGAGTCATCCTGGGAGCATGTGCAGTCGGGAATCCCTCAGGGAAGTGTGCTAGGTCCGTTTCTCTTTGTATGCTTCGTCAATGACCTCCCTGAAAATATCCTCTCTGCTACTTTTCTGTTCGCGGATGATACGAAGATTTTTGCTGAAGTACCCGACTGTTCGGACAACCTCCAGGATGACTTGAACAGACTCCAGCTCTGGTCTGATGCGTGGCAATTGAGGTTTAATGCAGAAAAATGCAAGGTTATGCACATTGGGAAAAATAGAAACCCCGCTGAGTACAAGATGACATCCAAAGGTGAACGCATCACTCTAGAATCTGTGTCACTAGTAAAAGACCTCAGTGTGAATATTGATAGTGATCTAAATTTCAGCAAACATGTCAGTATCCAAGTCAACAAAGCGAACAGTCTTCTCTCACTGATCCGGAGAGGCTTCCCAATGCTGGACAAAGTGTCCCTTTCTACTCTGTACAAATCAATCATTCGTCCTCATCTAGAGTATGGAAATGTGGTCTGGCACCCCAGACTTAAAGGGGATGAAGAACAACTTGAAAAAGTGCAACGTTGGGCCACCAAACTAATTCCTGAACTACAGCACCTTGCTTACTGTGATCGTCTCAGAAAATTGGATCTGCCATCGCTGCACTATCGGAGAGCTAGAGGGGACATGATTGAATGCTACAAGTATTTAACAAGAATTTACAACGTAACGGGAGACATTTTACCGCAGGATCTACACTCTAACACTAGGGGACACAGCCTAAAATTGAAAAAAAACCATGTGAAAACAGCAGTCCACCAAAACTTCTTCAGTGTACAGTTAACACTTGGAATTCCCTACCGGAAAATGTGGTGTCTGCGCCATACTTGAATGCTTTCAAGAATAGGATTGACATGGTCTGGAAGGCACATAAATTCTCCATGAACCTAGATTGGTTTCAAACTGCCAGATCCATGAGCCATGAGCACCAACCTACAGATAACAGAATGTGAAAACAACGAGCAGGAAGGAACAAGCAATGAAAACAATGAACGCTGATAGTTGACTAGCCTGACCACAGCCTTACTTCAAAACTATAACTTATAACTTTTACTACCAGTCCCAACTGAACTTAGTAAGACTTAGACTTAGATCTTATAATTTCTGCCCTTGAAAAAAAAACCCAACAACAAAACAAACAGTTGTCACTGTTGTAAAGCAAAAGAAGTTTGTTTTTATAGTTGAAGCATGTGATTGATGAAGTTTTCCCATCCCTGTGGGCTATGGGGAAAGTGACAATAGTGAAATTTGTAAAAATAAGAGCAAAAAACAGGATTTTTAAAAATTTAGTTGTCAGTACCGCTTCGGCTTCTTTTTAACTTGACACAATGACTGTCTGCTTAGTCCTACCAGACCTGTCGACCACTGCTGTCAAATGTCCTTTGCTCTAGAAGGTGGCTCGGTCAAATGTACCAAAATGTAAGTCATCAATTAGATTCTGTAAGCACACCTACTCGTAGTTTGCTCAGTGAACCTTGTCACGATATTCTGGCCCTCTGCCGAACTCCTCCCCAAAATTACACTAGAAAGGATTTTGATTTCGTGGTCGACCTTCAAGTGGACTGGCACAAGGAAGATTTACTTCAGCTCATACTAGATCTAGAAAAAGAGACATTGAACTTGAACTGAAGAGGCATAAATTTATAATGGGGTGGCAATATTAACGCTGTCCATAATGCTGAGAAGTTCAGGCTCACTGAGATAACTAACTATTATTCTGAACATAGGCTACCTCTAGACCCGGTGCTATGAGAACAAATTTGGCTATTGACTATTGGTCAAACCCTAGCATATATTGCTCTGCCACTCTGAGTCTGTAAAAATAATTGTCATGGTATATCATGAGTAACCACTCATGATATACCATTACAGTCATTTTTACAGAAATCTGTCATTATCCATTGTTTCAAGAAGCAACATCCCTTCATTCCGGACATGTCCATTTATGTGCCATTGCTCTCTCCGAAATGCCGCTGAGGGTCTTTCTACTGATTATGCCAGTGCCTATATATATAATATATCTGCTTGAACATTCTTCTGTTCTTTCCTGCAAGGATGCCAGATTTTCCGCTTCCTTTTTGTATTCTCAAAACCATTATCCTCTCCACAGCAGTACTGGCTGCTGCCTCCTTATCTTTCTCTTCAACCAGGTGGTGAGGGAGACATTTCAAGATCTTGACCCTGTCTGGTTGATCCGTGCTGTCGACCAAGGTGGCCTCACCAGCCAGTCTGTCTGCTTTTTCATTTCCAGAAATCTGTCAGAACCATGAAAGAACTGATGTTTTGTTGTCTTTTTACCTGAGCTTTTGACTTTTGATTTTTAAAAATTACATGTCATCTGTATATTTCTTTTTTAAAATCTCAGAGCCATGGGTAGCGACATGAACAATACCATAATGAGGACTGTCTCCTTTGTGGAGAGAATAGAGGTGGAGTACCATGGTAACATCATTACGCAGGCCATGGTACTGGCTGATGTGGACAATGATATGGTGAGTATGAGCAAATTTGATTAAGACGGCTGAGGCATTAACCCATCTTTCTGATACAATGGTGTCAGGGGGGAGGGGGGGGGGGGCTGTAAACCTCAAAGATAATGATAATACTACCCCTCTCCCCCCCCCCCCCCCTTCACACATTCAGGGCCAAAGTGGTGGATATGGAGATGTTGTTTATATAATAAAGTAGGGTGATCATAGGTTGTGCTTGAGCTTCGGCGGTAATGTTGCACACAGTGGCAGAGACTTCCCCTCAGACTCCTGAAAGAAGGCGGCTCTTTGCGAAAGGGTGTGAACTATTTTTTTTTAGGAGACAAACAGGAAAAGAGGGATGCATGCACACTGAAATTATAGGCCAGTGTCGGTTTTGACAGTTTTTGGATCTTCAAAAATAATTGTTGCCAGATAATTTATAGCAAGGGAAATTCCTGTTACTGTAAAAGGTTGCTTTTAAAAGGCAGTTATTTACATGATAAGAAAAAATTCAGTTGCACAAGCTTAGGTTGCTGTTTGGTGGAAACCACATTAATTAATCTGGAACACTATTAGTTGTCTCAAATATTCTTAGTTCAGTTTAAATCTGTTTCAATTGGTACCTTTTTTTGGTCAGTGTCAGCTATACCTTTAGTTGCTTCACTGATTTCTGGTCTATTTTGTCATCCTAGTAAAAGATAGTAATGTTACAAAGCTACAGTCACAGCAAGAGAATGAAAGTGTGTTGTTATTATGCTTGGGCACACTCAAAAAGCTACTAATCCACAGCTGTATCAGCTCTAGAGAATTCCGGGATTTTCTGGAGTAGGGTTAAAAATGCCTCAAAGAACATCTCCTGGAAATTTGTTAATGATCCTATTTGATAATACTTTTGTTGGTTTCAGGCGAATGAGCTGGTAGTTGGTAATATAGAAGGACACATTGCCATTTTCAAAGGAGACTCTTCAAAAGCATGGAAGAAGACAACTGTCAGTGGTATGGTAGGTACAGATATTTATAAACTTCCTTTTAAAAAATTTTATTCTTCATCAAGTGCTTCTACTTTTTGCTAGTTCAGTATAAATGATTATTCAACTCAGTAGCAGTCAAAGGTTTTATGTACCAATACCTTGACCTATCGTCTTTTTGAGGTATGAAACAAAATGTCCTTGATGGGAATTATGCTAATTTTAGGGAGACTCAGTTGCTCAACAGGTATGGTGTTTGCCTGTCAATCCAAAGGTCTAGAGTTCGATATCCCTGCCACTTTTGGATTGTTCTCATGTTTTCTACACCCTTTGAACCCAAGCACATAGTCTTCTCAGATGAGGAAGTGGAAATTTTGCTTGTTAAAGATCCTTTCGGGGTTCTAATATGAAAAGTGTAAGCCTTTAATGTTGCCATCTAGTCAAAATTCAAAACTGCAGCCACTCCAGTTGTTATCAATATTAAGAATCCCTTCGAAAATGATGCATGGCTGCCTTTCAGACAAATGATGATTCTACATCTTTGTAGATAAAATGGCTTTGTATCATGTGTATGTAAAAATCCCCTGCAGTCTGAGATTAACCCTTTGAGCCCTGATTTCCTGAGGCTACCGTGCCCCTCTGCTTGAGCTCCTGAGCGATATATTTCTAACATTCATATGATCGTCAGAATCACATAGCATGTTCCACTGAGGGTAGTCCTCTTCATTACCAGCATCTAATTCAGAAAGATCTTCAAAATAATTAACGTCCTGTGTTGTAAACGTGGTTTCCCGTGCACATTTTGTCCCAGACGGGCCGGGTTGGGAATAGGGTCTTGCTCACCCATGTACTGTTGGCTAGGCATACAGGCAATTTTACATGCCTCCGGTGTACTGGGTTAAGACCTTACAGAGCTTTAGCTGGAGTACCCCAAAGAAGAAGAAGGGAGTGCTTTAAAATTACAAAGTGCAGGAGAGAAAATCTCTCTCTCTCTCTCTCTCTCTCTCTCTCTCTCTCTCTCTCTCTCTCTCTCTCTCTCTCTCTCTCTCTCTCTCTCTCTCTCTCTCTCTCTCTCTCTCTCTCTCTCTCTCTCTCTCTCTCTCTCTCTCTCTCTCTCTCTCTCTATATATATATATATATATATATATATATATATATATATATATATATATATATATATATATATATATATATACATAGATATGTGTCACGACACTTTGGAATCGGGTGTTAGTCAATTTTTGGGCATATGGAGTTATTGGTAAAATCTTAAAGCCTGTTCTTGCTTTTGATGAAAGAAATGTCCAGCTGTTTTGAATAGAAGTGGTAATACTTGTGATTGAACGAGGTGGGAGTTGCCTGGTGTCAGAGGTAAATTTGGCGAGAAGATGGCGACCAAAGTTTGGTGACTTCTAAAGCTGTTGTCCCTGGAGACTTCAAATTTGCATTTCTCTTGCTTTTGATCAATGTTTTTCAATAAAAACCCATACAGGAATGTGTTTTTAAAAGGACAGAAAAAGCGTAAAGCCCAAACGAAACAAAATTATAATAATGGCCAAAAGGTCTAAAAATGTTGATTTGTTAAAATTTCATTATTTTGATGAGTGCCTAATTTCACCACGATGCCTAATAAATATGTTCCTAAAGGACTATTTGAAAAGTGAAATTCAACATTTTCTTTGGTGCTGGTTACAACATCAATATTATTACGCACAGATCGATTAGGATGCTTTTTTTTTCAAACTTTGATGTATCTTACATAATATATATATACACAAACTGCGGTATGGTATAGTGTTCTAGAAGTTTATTTACAGTTATTTAGAGCGCTTGCCAGTTTAAGCTTATTACAGTGGAGGGAAGTTAAAAAGGAATCAGCCTAAAAGGCTTGTGATGAGAGCTTTGTGTAAGAAGTTAGGGGAGCTGACTTTGCATCCCTGAGGCATAACTTTTATCTTATTATTGCAATCAGCAAACAGATATGCTTTGTGTTCTATACCAGGTATAATGTTCTTCCTATGCAATGGAGAAGGATGTTGTAATGCTTTACAAATCTTATTAGTAAAATTGTGGCAGATTTGGAGGAGGGCGCCCCTTGAATATTGAGCGTGGAGAAGAATGCTTCTCTAATGTCTTACGATTTTTTTGTATTTTGGCACAAGAGTCAAATTCTTGTTGAGTCTTATTCTGTCAAAATCTATTTCCTTGTTCTTGCAGTTGACTTGTCTTGCAGTGGGAGAAATTCACACTCCACACAAGGTTAGTGAAAAATGTTGTGATTATGAGAAGTTTTAATTTTACTGATATAATCTTTAATTTGTAAACATTTCCCATTCCTTTTTTGTGTTTTCTCATTATGGAAGAATATGGTAGTCCTTTCTCTGTTCATTTTATTTTGTCTTTGTCTTCTTAGGTTGCTAAATTTTTGGGTGTTTTTTTAAAAGATAATAATCTATTTTAAAAATTGGCAGTAGAGTTAGAATAAGAATCACCTTTAATATAGAATATCATTATTCTTCATGGTACACATTTCTACCAACTTAAAAATATTGTACTACCTTTATTGATTTTTTTTTCATATTTTATATTCAGTCGAACCTGTGTAAGACGTAATCGCAAGGGAGCCATAAAAAAATTCCGTCTTAGACAGGGGAATTTAGTTGGGAGATGGAAGAGGGGGGAGATGGGGGGGGGGGGGGGTATCAAGGGTCGCTTGTCCGGTCGGCAAGCAAACCCAAGTGGTCAAAACTTCACACCTCTCAGCTGCTATCCTCTTTGATAATGATATGCGTCAGTTTTATTTATCCAATTACATGTACCACCAGTGCTTGCATTTCATAGGACCACTGTTTGACCTATAGCATCTAAAACTGGTGGTTCTGTGATTTTCCTTCCATTCCGGGGTAGGCGATTAAGCAGTGACTGTAGGTGCAATGCCACAAACAAAAACCCAACTCCATCACAGAGAGATTGTAAGAAAAATGAATGGGTATGTTGGTGTCTGTTGTATTATATTGAGAAGTTGTTTGAGCAGATAAAGAAGAGAAAGACGCTATTAAGAACATAGTTGCTGTGTGTTGCTGAAATAAAAAAATTATAATATTATAATAATAATACTAATAGTAATAATAACACCAACTGGAAGCTAGATTCTCCCCCCCCCCCCCTCCCAGAGCAACCAAGTCCTCTCATCCGAGAGATTGGGGCAGGGGAGGGCATGGCAGACCCCAGAGGGTTAATGTTGTCAACAAGCAAGACGCAAATGGTCTCTGCACCTTCTCCGCAGTCATAGGGCTCTCCGATAAGTGCATCCTTAATACATTTCGCAGCTGGGTATTCCCTACGTAAAGTCACATCCAGTACAGTGCTGACAATGAACCTCAGTTTTCCACCCCACCAATACCCGTCCCAACTCTAGGTCAAAGAAAGGTTGTTGATGGAGAGAGGAGAAAAGAAAAGTTAATAAATGTAATAAAGTAAAACAATTAAAAACAATAAATAGAAAGAGTAAGAAACATAGTAAAGTAATATGTCTCTTTTCGGGGTCACCCCTTGACCCGTTAGCTTCCTCTTTTTCTTTTCCTATTCGAAGAGTACTAATCCCCCCAACCCGAAGAGGTGGGTCTATTTGGGGGGGGTTTGACCTATTAGAAACAAACTTTTGAACTTCTCCTTTTCTTCCACGCTTAACCTCACCCGTCAGTGTAACAAACACAGTCAACCAATGCCACCCCTCACTGCCATGTAATAACAATTGGAGGAACTCTTTTCTCGGCTGGCCGTACGATCAGGGCGGCAGGCATTGGTCAAACTAATTTCACACCTCTGACCTCTGGCTACCAATGAAAATGTCCGTGCTGGTGCACCACTCGAGCACTCTCACAGGCTCTCGTGAGATTTCCTATGCGCATCACCCTGACCATCTTCACAGCTCAGGGCTCACATAGATGGGGTAACATCTACCCTCAAATTGCACCCCTACTCCCCTTCCTTGCCCAGCGGCATAGCGTTAAGTTTAGAGCCGGCGGACAGAACCAAACTTGCGAATTTTGTTACAAATCAGGGCTGAGCGGGCAAAGCATTTTCCGTCTTAGACAGGTAAAACCCCCGGAAGGGAGCTGATTTTTCTTTCCATTTCCGCGCTGGACAGGTTTCCGTTTTTTCACAGGTAATTAAAGAGGAATATATCAAGGGGGAGCGGGGAGATTCCATTAAGACAGGTTTCCGTTTTACACAGGTTTCCATTAAGGCAGGTTCAACTGTATTTGAGAATAAATGTACTTGATGTAATTGTTTTCTTTTTTGAAACTTCAGAACAGCTTAGTGTGCATCACAGCTGAAGGATGGTGCTATGTGTATGACATCACACCTCAAAGTCCTTTTCAGGTATGATTAACAAAACGCTACCTTAGAATTACAAAGTTCTATCTGACAATTTTGGCTGTTTTCAGTTACTAAGACCATGAGTTCAGAAATCAAATGCTCTCTCAAAATTGTAAGATTATTCTGATTCGTTACCAAGATATTCAAAAAATTGCATTGGAAGGAGCTTGACATGTGAAACTCAACATTTTTTATGTTAAATTTCTCAAAACTAGGTACAGAACAGATAGAACTTTTAATTCTAAGGTAACAAAAAATAATTTAGCTGATTAGTCTACTTGCTAATACCACAGCACCCTTAGGACCAACAGCAGCCAATCATTTTCACTGTGTTTTCTCTTTGGTTCATATGTGGTTTCTTCTTAGAGAAAACTCCACTTAGGTCGAGACATCTTGAATAGTTTTCCTGTTGTGGTTCTGCTTCGCAAAGCTAGTGTTACAATTAACACTTGAATTCTTATCTCATCATAACTTGGCTGTTGAAGTTTTCAATTTGAGGTAACTTGTTTTCAGCTTCATTGTTGTATTGATGTGGGAAGATTTTTGAAAAGCTGTATAATAAACAGCATTTAAAAACTTCCTGTTTTGTGTATTTCAGAAGTATTTTGATAATATAAACTTCAAGGGAACAATTCAAATGGTCATGATGGGGGTTATTGCAGAAGCCTGGTCTGTGTTGGAAAAATTGTCATGTTCTGATTTTAGAAATATTGTCTCTATGACAGCTGCTCAGCGTAGCATGACCACACACTGATTGTTAAAGTCAACAAGTTCTTGATTAATATAACCATGGCCTTATAAGTGAGGAGAGTCCTCTTGCAGCCCCTAGTCTATCGTGATAGGTATTTTAGTTTTTGGTTTAAAGATGGACCTCTTGTTTTCCAACAGTTATTCTGGAATAAGCGTAAGTACATTTTCCCCATCTAATAGATGGAGTTTTAAGAGGCATGAGTTGCCAACTTCATCTGTGTTTGTAGTTTGTATGTTAAAATGTCGTGGAAAAAGTATGTCTGCCTCTTGCAGCACTATACTGAAGGAGAATGCTGATGCACAGATGTGATGCATATGGAGGATTTTGAGAATTTAACTGTCAAAAGGGATATTTCATTTACCTTCACTTAGATTCTTTTTTCAATAGCTTTCAGTTAGTGCAGACGAAAATAAAGTAAAAAACTGCACCTCCAGCCTATGGGAAACCATTGGACACATTGGAAGAAACAAACAATAAACTTCACAGCATCATACCCTAACTGGGTCCACGAATACCTTCAGGCCTCTCCAGAAGAGAAGAAGTCATTCTTACTGGAGTAAGTATAGGACACACCTGCCTGACACATAAATATCTCCTTCAGAGAGATGAAAAACCATTCTGTATCGGCGCCACATAGATTTCTCCATTAGACACATCTGAACAGAATGTCCAGACTCCGGGGAAAGCTGGGGGAAGTATTTTAAATGCAAAAATTGCAAGATCTGTTCTCTGTCGTTGATCCCAACAGAATTCTCAATTTTATGGAGGCCATTTTCCTTTACAGTAATTTGTAGATAGCGTTATTTAAAAAAAATAAAAAATTATTTAAGGTGTTATTTTAAGACAGAGGTTTTACCACATATTTTTAACATTTTAATCGAAATATTGACCTAAGCCAAGCTGTGCTGTGAATTGTTGTGAATGCAACAAACTTGTATTTCGTGTGCTCATATAACCTTGCCTTCTGTAGTTGCGAGGGCCATAAAACTCTTACTAAACAAACAGCGGAGATGTTTTAAAAACCTGTGAAAGTCAATTTTTGTAAGTATATCTAGGTTTTTTAATGCCTCTGCCTTTGGATGTGCCTTATGTAAATGCTCTTTGCTGTGGCAACAGTCTTTGTTTATATGATCGCACTCTCACCTTCTTTGACTCATCGTCTTTTTAGTGGTCATAGCATGTTTCTTGTAGTAGTAGTAGTAAAGGGTTTTTCGACGCTCGCAACTGCATAAGGTCATATGAGCGCGCCATGTTTCTTGATTCTATATTCCTAGTTGTAGTCATCCTCAAGGTAGATAAAGGTAAAAATCTAGCAGTTTCACGCATTCTAAAAGGAGAACTGACTTTACTTTTTGTCTCCACAGTCAGCAGTACACACTAAGAAAATCTAATGGGTTGAGAGTTTTATATATATATATAATGGGTTGAGAGTTATATATATATATAAATACATATTATCGTTATAATATTATGATTATCATTATTAATTTTATTATTATATATACCCCATATATATATATATATAGCAGTTTTAGATTCTCCTAGCAGGTGGTTGGAGGGTGCCACTGATATGTTGTACTTGTGTGATTTACCTCTATTGTTTCTTTCTCCTTGTCTTTTTTTTCCTCCACATTAAAGGAGCATTATTGAGTCAACGTGTTTCTTTTTACTAGATTCCCCTGAGTTTTTAGTATGTAAAATTTCTTCCATTGCAGAATCTGAGTGGAGATGACTCTGATGAAAGTCGCATGTTCCGGCCTGTGTTCACACAAGAGTTGCCGGCTAATGCTAGAGTCATGTGCTTGGCTGACATTGGTGAGTGATATTTATGTTTTTGTATAGGTTTTTACTCTGTGCTAAACTGGAAGGTTGTTTTAGAGCCAAAGCACTACTCTTATTAGTTGCATTCAGGTCAAAAGAAAGAGTGATTAATTAATTGTAGATATTTTACACCCACATCACCTCCAATTAGATCATTTAGGAGGCAGGGCAAAGAATGAAGGTGAGAGGATACATGAAAGTGAATACTACTTGTGTACTTTTGAGATTAGCTCTTCATCACCTGCACGGGACATGCCCCTTCTGCTTTTGAGCTCTAAGTGTGCTTGGTTTAAAGTGCCCCCTGATACTGCCCCCCCTCCCCCTTCCAAATTGTGTTGATTCGAGAGAGTCAGAAGAAACCTGTACAATTATTTTCTCTTGATTGTGATGAAGTTTCAAACCCAAAACTCGAGTATATATATGTTTTTGTTGCCAGACTCTGATGGACATGTAGAGATGGTCATCGGATATTCTGATCGAGTTGTGCGGGCTTTTAGGTGGCACGTTCCTCACGATCCGGAGAGCGGTCATTTTGTGCCTCTGCAGAAATGGCAGCTGGCTGGACAGGTCAGTTCCCATTCTGATATGGGTTAAAGTAAAGTATAACCCCCTTCCTGAAGCCTTCTTTCATCGTAACAATCACAGCTGGCTGTTTTTTGTTCTTATAAGACATCGCTACAACCCCTATGTGAAATTTTTATTTTATTTTTTATTATGTACATACCTTAACAATGTAAATTGTTGCACCATAGTAATATCACTGCAATTCAAATGGTGGATAGTTGGAGGGTGCCACTGGTAGGTCTTGCTTTTTTTCTGTCCCAGTTGTTTCTTCTGTCTTTTTCAAAGCACTGTTGATGTTGTCGTACCATGTTGATAGAATCTCTTTACTGCAAATAGACATTTCAATATTTTGATTTCTTAGAATGGAAGACTGTTTTTCACTTGGAAAGTGTTTTTGTTAATTTAGGAGAAAATGTAAAAAACAAAACAAACTAGAATAAGACCATAAGAGAAGTGAAAGGTTGAGATTAAAGTGCAAATTGGGTCTGAATATTTCTCATCCTTCACTGAAAATATCCTGTTTGCCAGAAGATTGAATATTCTGCCTTGGTCATCATCTATTCTGTGTCTAATATGATGCTGGACTTTTAAGAAAAACTAAATAAAAAATGTTTAAGTAATCTTCTTTACTCAGAAAGTGAAAGACAATCACATTTGTTCATGCTTGTTGTATATTTGAATATCAACAGAGTAAAGAACCATCCACTTAACCATCACACCTCCAAATTTGCAGAAGGCAATCAACATTTTGTTGTCAGTGAGCTTTATCTTTTGTTCACTGCTACTTCAGGTTAGATCGCAGCTTGCTGTTGATGTGGACGTTTGCTTCTTGCATAAAGAGGTCTGCTGTGACCCAAAATCTTGATGTTGTGATCCTACTTTTGAGATGAACTATATGAAAGAAATGTTACTAGTTATGTATTAGTGCTGGGCAGTACCAGCGAAATTGAGTTCTGGTACTTTACCAGCTGTGGGTGTCAAGTTCTACTTTTACCTGTACAGGTACTGGTACTGAAAATAGATGACATCAGAGGCTCTGTGTGTCTTGTGTCTCTCATGCTGCATGTATTTTTCTTCTGTTACGCACCCCCATCCATTGTGCTTGGGTGATTTAAAAAATGTTTCCTTGGTAGGGTAACAAGGGTGTCAAAACTCATCAAACACAATCTATGTCCCATCTGGGAGAGATGAGCTTGGACACAAAATCCCTTTAAAATTTGCCGCTATCTTAGATTATCTTTGTCAGCAAAGTTTTGTAAATAATTATTGCAGCTAAAAACAGATTTCATTTTCTGAATCAATATAAACAGAAAGGCTCTAGAGGAATCTGATTTGATGCAATATTTAAACTTTAGCTAACAATTTTATCTGGAATGTGTAAAGAGAAGAAGCAATTTGAAAAAACTGATACTTCTTATATACGATGAATCTGATACAATTTATAGCCATGTGTAACCAGGGCTTTAGTTCCAAGGGCACATCACCAGCTGTGTTAAACTCTTGGTGTCAGCACCTGCCCAGAGCCGATTGTACTCGGTACCGATACTTTCTCAGTTCCTTTTCTCAAGGCCTGGTGTGGTGCCAGTACTGAGACCGCCTATGATAGAACCTCAAGTTCCAATATTGGGTACTGATTGTTGTTGTTGTAGACGCTTCTGATCCGGCAACAGCTGGCCCTCTGTCCAATACCATGTAGTGATTGTTGCAGTTGCTGTAATGTTCCAAAGAGTTCTGGGAACTGGTACCCGCCCAGCCCTACTACATACAAAAGTATTAAAAAATATAACTTTCCCTTTTCAGATTGGAAGCATCACCATCAATTATGATAAAGAACACCGACCGGAGCTGATGGTGTCGCAACCGGGGGCAACCTTCGTCTCACTTCAGGTGCGGCCACAATTCCGACACATTAAGTCAGAGAGCCACTTAGACAAGCTGAGCGGATCCAGGGCCAGCTCTTCGCTGGAGCACAGTGGAAGTTTTGGTGCCTCTGCTGCTGGAGACTCTCTCAAGGCATCGGGTAAACAACAGACTCAAGGGGCTCAAAGCAACGGTAACAAATCAGACCCTCTTTCCAGCAAGACAGAGCCTGCTTCTTCCAGTGGCTTGAGCAAAGTGTCTGCAAAGTCTTCCGAGAGTTTGTCTAGTGCTAATACTTTGAGTTCAGAGTCTAAAAGCAGGCTGGACACTTCTAATCAGGAAAGTGTTTCGAAAAGCAAGTCTGAGAGTCCTAAAGATGGTCATAATGACAGTTCTTCTGTCAAGGTGTCTATGAGGCAGAGAGGGGATAAAGTGAACATTCAGCCTCATATCTCTGACTGTCCCTTTGATTCTGGTGAGAGTCAGCTGGAAAAGTCTCAGGGAAGGCTGTCTCAGTTTCTGGATTCTTCTTTTGAGTGAGTATGTTTATGATAAAACGCATGTCATAAAAGGTAGTTGCTCTTGGGATGTATTACAGAAATGTTATCTATCTATCAGATATTGTTACCAAGCTGTCAGTTATACAGTTACCTGTCAATCAGTCAATGCTGTTACCAAATCAGTCATGTATAAGCTTTTGCACTTCATTCCAATTCCACCAAATAATATTTACCTATAAATTCATTTAAGGTTAACGGCCTGCTCCTTTTGAAAAAAGAGGGGGAGAGAGAGAGTGTGAGAGAGAAAAATTATTCTCGTATTGTTGCTATTGATCAATATAAGTGTATTTGTCCATGTGTTCTTGACGCACTTATAGTATTCACAAAGTGAAAATATGCTACATAAATGTGATGCATTTTTTATTATTATTATTATTCCTTATTTAGAAGCATAGCAGTGATGAGTGATAAAAACTTTTTTTCCCTCCCAAATAAAGCTTTTGACTAATAGGACACAAGGAATGTTCTACTTTTCTTTTCATTTTCTTGAACAGTGAGGACGGATACCTCATCTACCATCCTCTTGCCAACTCACAAATCCGCAACAAGGACACAAGCACGGTCATCATCGGAGGCATTAACCGTGGCCGCACCAGTCACTCCAGCACAGACTCCGACCCGCCGCAATCCCAGGCCACCTACTATGCCCTGGCAACTCTTGATGGTATTGCTGTTTTTGGGGGGGGGGGGGGGGGGGGGTTAAACTCTTGTATATTGTATGTGTTTCTAGGTGGGGTTGGGTGTAAAACTTTGAGGGATTTTTTTTCTTGAACTTGGTATATATTTCTAGTCATATTTGATGTGGGTTTTATTCTATTATGAAAATTGTGTTTTTCTTAGGTTTCTGCATTCAAATCTTTTTGCTTCAGACAAAAATATTGCATTAGTATTTCTAATTTAGTAAAAAAAAATTTCTTTTGACGTTGTGTGTTTCTGTGCTTGGTTTCTTGTTTACTTTTTAACTTTTGAGGGGTTTAGCTAATTTTGTTTAGCCTGCTTTATATGCATGGATTTTGTTTGTGTAAATGGATATAAAGTTATTGATTCTAAATTCTAGACCATAGTTTATTGAGGTCAGACTACGATTCTTAACTTTCTTAGGCAGTTCCTAATTGTGCAGTCCTTGTGCAGTCATAAAACCCTTTAGATCTAATCTTCCTGTTTTTTCGTTCTTTTTCTCAGATTTTCATTTTGTATACTTTTTCTTCCTATTTATTGAAGTTCTTGCAGTTTTCTTCCTCTATTTTATTTTTCTGTCTCTTGAGAGAAATACATTCTCTCACTTTTTGTACGTGACTTTGGTAGAATTAAGTTGGTGCCAGAGATGTACATTGTGTTGTTGTTGTCTTCATTTTTGATTTTGTTGTCAGTCTGGCTATTTCGTTAAGACATGGAGAAAGTATGAAGGTGTTAAATTCTAGAAATTAGACATTTACTTTGAAAATGGCCCATGGCATATCATTTGTGTTATTGTATGACCATTTTGAATGAAAAATTCTTTGTACTGCTCTACAGGTTCTCTTAATCTTGTGGAGAACGATACGATCTTGTGGTCACTGCATGTAGATCATTACCTCTTTACTTTGTCCAAGCTAGATGTCACGGTAAGTGTCAAGATTCTTTGTACAAAGACAATTTGTTAGGAGCAACCCAGGCCGAAGCACATGCTAATTGAAGTATACCATATCACTGAACTCAATTCCTCAAGCAAAACTGAAATAATGATAGATTGGTAGGTATTTTCAGAGAGTAGACTGTAAAGAGGAAGTAGAACTCATTGGTAAAGGAGTTGTTGAAATGTTTAGTGACATAAGAAACGGGATAGACGAACAGATATAGTGACTCGAATTACGGCTGATTAAATTGACTACAACACGACAGATGGAAACTTGCTGCCAAATTAATCGGACATCGACAACAGGGGGTTTAATTGGGGTTAAGTGCTACGAATATTTATTATTATTGTTGTTATTATTATTATTGTTGTTGTTTTTTTTAATTATTATATTATTATTATGTTTGATGGTATACTGGGCATGAGAAAAAGCTGTGTTTGTCTTCATCTCCACAGGGGAATGGTAAAGAAGAAGTGGTCTGTTGTTCCTGGAGTGGACAGACATACATTGTGAACCACAGCAAGGAGACAGTACGTTATGACTTCCCAGACAGCGTGGCTGCTTTCTGCGCAGGTAAGTCATGTGTGGGTTTTGTGTGGACGGCCTATGTACGAATCCTCAATGGATGAAGACTTGGCTTTAAAGGGTCATGTTAACTCACTTGAGCCTGAGCTATTTTTCTCCCAACCACCATTACAGCCTAACACTTTTGTTGTATATTGAAGCGTTAACCACAAAAAGAAAAAAAGAAAAAAACAGCATGTAATTTGTCCAAATGAGGTGGTGCTTGATGAAGCCCATGTGGGATGCTCACTAGTAAAAACTATCAGGAAACGATAAATGCTGTTTTTGGGACACCTGAATAGACATAAAGGTCTTGAACATCTAGCTCTCACTGGCTAAATCGAAGGCTAGAAAGGCAGGGGTAGGCCCAGAGCAACCTACTAAGGAAACCTAAACAACTGAGTTAACGGGGAAAGATCAGGGAAATGTAGCTTTTTTAAGAGCATTGGAGCAAAGGAATGAATAGAAAACCATGATAGCCGTTGTATGTCGCAGATCAGGCACTGGATGAATGAATGAAGTTTTTATTTTATCAATATTTTGAAATGGCAATGTTTGGGGAGTACGCAATTTTTTTTTTGGGGGGGGGGGGGGGCCTATTAATAATGAGATCATCTGTCACAATGCAGGGGTGACTGACTTTGTCCGTTACAGCTAAAAAAGTATCACACATAACTTTACCAAATTTTTAATAAAAGAAAACAAGTATGTCAACTCTTGGCTCACTGCTTCTCATAATTTGTAACAGGAAGACACAGAATATTTTGATCGAAAAAGCGCGTCCCGTAAATACACGGGATCTGGCTACCAGGCTAGCAGGGCATCCCATAAATACACGGGAATAGGCTCAAGTGAGTTAACCTATTGCACCCATGCTACAAGTATACTCTTATCTGGCGCGCGCTTCCGTCCACACAATAGTCGTAGCAAAATACCAGTCCACAAAATCGAGTCCAAACCACTTATCTAGGTTTCTATTGAAAATAATAGATCGCTTGTAGCTCATAAAAACTTTTGCTAGCTTGTTTTGATCAAGTTTTTCGCCATGTATGAGTTAGTTTTGTTGTTTTGTCCCCACAAATCATGGCAAGAAAGCGAGCACTGAAATCTTCAGGGGCGAGAAGAAGAAAAAACAACCACAAAAAAACTGTTATTTTGTGTGGTTGTTGAAGTACATGAACCATATTTTTAGTTTTGTTTCAGGCATAAGCGGCAAAGAAAGTGAAAGTAGATGTCAATCTAGAAAAACAAGGCAATCAGATTGATTTTAGTGCCTTGAAAGCTTCAAAGAAAAGCTAGATCTAGACCATAGCCTAGATTTACAATGAGTTGCTATGAGTAAATTGAGTGCCGATGAGTCGCAGTCAGACAAAAAATATATTGTTTTCTCTTCTCTTTCCTTCCTCTTTCCCTCTAATAATATTAAAGGAACATTTTAAGTAAAATCTAAACGAAATTTCATATTTATACCTTAAATAGTTTGGGCACAATGCGTGTCAACTAAGGTTAGTATGTTGAGTTCAGACCAATTTTTTCCCCTGGCTCGCAAGCCAGGTGGACTCAAGCACACTGCCCGCGGCAACGCAGAGTGAATTAGGTTAAGGTGGTGAGGTGTTGATGTGTATTGCAGGATCTGGTAGTGAGTGCATGCCTGTGTGTTTGTATGTGTGTGTGTGTTCATGTTTGTGTGTGTGTGTCCATGTGTGTGCAGGTTGATGTATGTTTATATGTTTGTTTGAATAGGTGCGTATGAGTGGGCATGTGCATGTGTTAATGTTTGTGTGAGAAAGAGAGAGGAGGGAGAGAGAGAGAGAGAGAGAGAGAGAGAGAGAGAGAGAGAGAGAGAGAGAGACACACACAGAGAGAGAGAGAGAGAGACACAGAGAGAGAGAGACAGAGAGAGAGAGGGAGAAAGAGAGACCCTGTGTGCATCTTTGAACAGGCAATTTGATTTCTGGACTTTAACTCGAAATGTGTTAGCTTGATTCCCGGTAAGCCTGAGCTTAAGAAAGCTTCACTGACATTCCTTTGTTCTGCTGTGAGTTAGTTAGGCATGAGTATGAGCAACTTCTGGGTTTTGACTGTACTACAAACATTTTCCTTATAACTGTCTTGTATTATCTGTTTGGCTTCTCTGAATATTTTGTGATATAGCTTAATGTACCTCTTAATTTGGATGGGTGGTTGGCAGGCTCTCTGGTATGGTATTCTGCTTTTTTTCTATCAAGCATTATCATCACCATATCTCCTTTTTTTTGGTATATTATATTACTCTCTAGTGACAGCCCTATTCTTTGGCACTTATTTTTGTGTTGCGAGTGCTGTAAAAACCTTACTAAAACTAAACTAAACAATGTTTTGGGTCTGGCAGGGAGTGAGCGTTTATGAGTGTCTTTCTGCTGGGATGCTTTACTTATGCAGTCTAAATTGACTTGCACAACCTGGATGGAAGCTTACTGCCTTCTAAATTATCTAAATGGTGTTGTGAGTGTAGAATGTTCACAATCATTTACACAATCTTGAACTAAGTGTCGTGGGTAGAGGGTGGACTGTGGTTAGTTGGCGGGTGCTCTGGTGGGGTTTACTTCTTCTTTCCATCTACCAAACATCTATTGTCCTTATCTCTCTTTTTTGTGTTTGTTAGTCTCTTGTAACCACCCACGGCATCCCCCTGACCCAAGCTCTCTGGCTGGCGACAGAGAGATGTCTCTTTCTTCCCGCGACACCCATAAGGGTATAAGCGGCGGATAAAAATAAAGAAAAGTACTCTCTTGTAACACCTGTCGTCTTCAGCATGTGTATGACCTATTTGTGTTTGCAAGTGCCATAAAAGGCAAAGGAAAACAGCAAAAAAAGGGGCTGACCATGTCCTTTCGTTGTATCCGAATTTTCATTGAATCTGAGTTGTTGAATCTGAGTTCCACTGTATATGTGTGGAACACATTTGTCAGTCCCCAATGTGTTTGAGTTATCGGTGCCTCACTAAATGTAATGTCATTTTTTATTTTTTCTTTTCAGGATACTATTCTGTACGTGACCATGTGAACGTGCCATGTTTTGTATACGCTACATTCAACAATCGTATCTGCATCTATCCTAATATCTCGTTACCTCGAGTGGAGTCTACAAATTTGATGAAAGTCATGGGAAGAAAAAAAGAGACAAAGGAACTGCTGCATAAGCTCAATGTCAATGGTATATATACTTACTGTCTGTGTTGTTTGTTTCTGCTTGATGATTTGTTTTTTTAAAAAAGTGATCTCTAATGGTTGTTTAGTAGAAAATGCGCTTGCAGGAGGTTACTTTTATATTGTATTTCTTTTCTTCGTGGTCAAGGGTTTTATTCAGATTTGAAGTGTTTATTTTGTTAAAATTGAGCTGCTGTCATTTCTTAAAACAACAGTATACACAGTCTTTACAATTTTTCAGGAGAGCCAAAAAACCCCCTGAATATTGTTACTAAGAAAACAACCCTTTGGAAACATCCCAAGTCAATATTTTTAAGAATACAGTTTTGATAATAACTTCTTTATTGTCTTTTAAGCAAGTGTTTTATTGATAACAGCATTCAATTTTCTGGGTCTCTTTTAAAATTGTAAAAACTGCTTATACTGTAAGCCTACTTTAAAAAATGATTGCAGTGAGGATTTAGTTGTTTTTTTTTGTTTTGTTTTGTTTTGTTTTTTATTCTTCTTCTCCATCACGTCGCACTTGAAGTCTGGTATCTGTCATATACTGAGCTGTCCCGCATAAGCAACTTTTAACTACTTATAACTATAAGATCTGATATATGTATCAGATAAAGGTGAGGGGGAAAACATTTTTTTTTTAGCTCTCCTTTCGGAACTTTGCCCTTGCAGGTGATGGGCCCCATAGTTTTACTAGTTTTACATGGGGGAGCTAAGAATACACCTGCCTTTATACTGCGTGTCGTTTGAGGCAACTAAAGGTGCATAGGTCTGGTGGCCCGAAAAGTGCCAGTTTGCGGAGGGCCAACTACCCGACCCAGTATAAAAAACGGAGAGTTATAGAAACACAAACACGCCTTATTATTTTCCATCTTGGGAGACGGAGGAGTTTCTGTGTCAGCAGGAACAATGAAGGGCAGCGGACAAAGCCGAAAGGACTCTTCAGAACCCGAAATCTTCTCTGTCGAACAAGTCTCTCCGGATTGCGTCATGGAATGTTCGCACCATGTATGAAGCAGGAAAGAGTTCTCAAGTGGCTCAAGAGAAGAAGAGATACAGGCTGCACTTACTAAGAGTCAGCGAAACCCACTGGATACAGTCTGGACAGAAGCAGCTCAGTTTGGGGGAACAAATATTGTATTACTTACTTACTTGTCTTACTTGTCCACTGTGTTGGGGTCACTGCTGTCGGGACATGTCCATCTCTGCTCTCCCCCCCCCCCCTTCAGGAAATATTGTAGAAATATTGTATTCTGGGAGGGAAGACAAGCACCATGCGGAGGGAGTTGGAATTATTTTGAGTAAGTATGCACAGAAGTCACTTAGAGGATGGGAACCACAGGGGGAGAGGATCATCATGGCTTCATTCACTGCAAGGAGTAGGAAAATCAACATGAACATAGTTCAGATCTATGCCTCTACAAATGATGCTTCAGATGAAGACAAGGATGCTTTTTACAGCCAGCTCCAGGGGGTCATCGACAAACTTCCATAGAAGGATGTCAACATCATAATGGGAGACGCCAGTGCCAAGATTGGTCAGGACTACATAGGTTATAAGGGAATCATAGGACAACATGGCTTTGGACAAATGAATGAGAACAGTGAGCGATTTGCAAATATCTGTGCTTTCAACAGTTTTGTCTTTGGAGGCTCTGTTTTTCCCCACAAGAGGATCCACAAGGCTACTTGGGTATCACCGGATGGAGCGACGGAGAACTAGATCAATCATTTTTGTATCTCTCGTGGGTTCAGGCATTGAATGGAAGATGTCACAGTACAGAGAGGGGCAGACGTTTGATCGGATCATCATCTGCTGTTAGCAAAACTCGAGCTTTATCTTAGAAAGCACGGAACCAGAACAGGAACCAAAAGAACGAAGTTCCAATTAAGTCTCTTAAATGGACCCAAGAAAGAGGAGTTTCAGCTGCAGTCGAAAAATTTAACCCTTCGCGGATCTTGGTGAGGAGGACATGGAGGTGGAGATGCACTGGACCAAGGTCAAAGAAGTCTTTGCTTCAACATGTCAAGAAATACTTGGTGTAAAGAAATTGGAGAATAAGGAATGGATTAGCCAACGGTCTTTGGATTTGATTAGCCTTAGAAGACAATTGAAAGCAGAGATAAATGCAATTAGAACAAGGGGATCAAAAGCAGACGCATTGGAACAGGCCAAGACAACAGCTAAAGATGTAAAGAGATCACTAGAAAAGACAAGGAGGAATTCATGAACAGGCTGGCAGAGAGGGCCGAGGAGGCATCAGTAGGAGGGAACATGCGAATCCTTTATCAGACTACAAAGACTTTTTCTGGAAAATATGGGAATCCAAAAGTAATAGTAAAGGACCAAGAAATAAAAAACATTTTTGGAAAGGAAGCTCAGTCAAGACAATGGGTAGATCTTTCAACATTCTTCTGAACAGACCACCACCAAGTAACACGCCAAACATCCTGCCAGCAAGAAATGAGTTACCAGTCTGCTGTTATGCTCCATCAAAAGAAGAGATTATGGATGCCATTAAGAAGCTGAACAATGGTAAAGCGGCCGGTGCAGATCAGATTTCACCTGAGGCCCTAAAAACAGATGCCAGTGTGATGGCAGACTTCCTTCTCCCATTGTTTACCAAGATCTGGAATGAGAGCAAGTTCCCAAAGGTTTTGGAAAGTAGGACACCTTGTGAAACTTCCTAAAAAAGGGGATCTCAGCAACTGCAGCAACTGCAGCAACTACCGAGGAATCACTCTTCTCCCAATACCAGGTAAGGTCTTCAACAGAATCATTCTGAAAAGAATCAAGTCTGTAACGGATCCAAGACTTCTGGATGAACAGGCTGGTTTTCGGAAAAAAACAGTCAACCACAGACCAGATTGCTACACTGAGGATCATAGTGGCACAGTCCCTGGACTGGAACTCCCAGTTGATTGTCAACTTTCTGGACTATTAGAAGGTCTTTGACAGTTTAGACTGAGCAACACTGTGAAAGATAATGAGACATCATGGAATCCCACAGAAGCTGGTTAACCTCATCAGGAGCATGTACGAAGGGACAAGTTGCTGGGTAATACATGATGGCCAGCTCACTGGCAGCTTTGACATCAAGACCGGTGTGAGACAGGGATGTTTACTATCACCTTTCCCCTTTATCTTGGCAATTGACTGGCTGATGAAGGAAACCACCAGAGGACACAGAAACGGCATACAGTGGACCCCATGGACACAGTTGGATGATCTTGACTTTGCAGATGACTTGGCGCTTCTGTCACACACTCAGGAACAGATGCAAACAAAGACCACTATTTTAAACAGCCTATCAGAGTCTGTTGGATTGAGGATCCACCCCGGCAAGTCAAAAGTCCTAAGGATAGATGCCATACAAAAGGAGCAGGTCACTATAGAGGGAAATGCACTAAAAGACGTCAAGTCCTTCTGCTATCTTCGGAGTATAATTGATAGAGTGGGAGGAACAGGCGCTCAAATATAGTCCCGCATTGGAAAGGCACAGACTGCATTTATTTCTTTAGAAGATTTGGAGGGCCAGGTATATCTCACTACGAACAAAGCTGAGGATTTTCAACTCAAATGTGAAGTCAGTCTTGTTGTATGGATGTGAGACGTGGAACGCATCTCAGACCTGCATAAAGAGGATCCAGGTTTTTCTGAACAAATGTCTGAGGAAGCTACTGAGAATCAGATGGACGGACAGGATCACCAATGAGGAAGTATTAAGAATATTAAGAAGAACGAGACAGAGCCCAGTCAGAGATGAGGTGGGAAGAAGGCGTTGACAATTGATTGGACACACTTTAAGGTAGTCAAGCTGCTGCATAGCAAGGAAAGTGTTAGATTGGAATCCACAGGGTAAAAGATCAAGGGGAAGACCAAGTGGAACCTGGAGAAGAGTCACGGAAACGTATGTACAGAAAAGTGATAAGACATGGAGTGACATCAAGCGACTAGCACTAGCTCAAGATAGGGAAAGGTGGAAAGTGTTTGTTCGTGGCCTATATCCTGATCCAGGGTGAGAAAGGTATTGATGATTCGGAACTTACTTGACATAGAATGCACTTCTGGGGGTCTCCATTCCTGTGGGGCCCCTGTGAGTCACCATAATGGCAAGTGCAAAAGAGTCTTTTTACTCATTTCAAGAATGAAGCAGTCAAAATTTTGTATTACCGGTACCCAAATGAAGAAAATATGATATGATAATTAATTTGTTCTTTTGTCTCATTGTACTAGCCAAACTATGTTGATTCAAATCATAACTTTGTTGGATGTTTACTTTTTTCACAGCTGATGATATGGAGTCTGTACAAAAACTGTATCACTGGTGTCTGTATGGCCAACACAGAAAGTCATGATGGACCAAGCTCTTCAGTTTTCAGAAATTTGCAAACAGATTGTGCTATTGTTTCGTTAGCCTCATGCAGGAAAGTCATTTATACATTTGGGCATGGATGACTCAAATACGTTGGAGATTGACAGTTGTGTTTGGCATATCCATAATTTGAGTAATAATTTTAAAAAATAATAATAGATAGCATTTGTATTGTATGCGCAAATTCCCACTCAACAGCCAGCTCTATGTGCTTCACAAATCTATACTATTACCCCGGCAGACTTGATAGCATTCTGAAACAATTTCTGCTTCCTAGGAAGCATACAGTGCAAGCTGCCATTTTTTATAGCACAGACACATCAGACCGAAGGGCTAGAACCCAAATGGCCGCTGGATTGGAAAAGTAAAGTAAAGTAAGTATAGCACAGACACACTGACAAGATCGTTCTTATAACAAAATAGTAAAGAGGATATCAGCCAGGGAATGGCAAATTGTACGGGCTATCTGTAATATTGAGTTTTCTGTGTTCTTGTTATCTGTGCCTGACTGTGCTTATGCATTAGTCCCCGCATAAGGTCCTGGAGCTATTAAGTACCATTAGGGAAAATCTGAGTATTGATCGATTACAATCTTGAGAGAGAGAGAGAGAGGAGAGAGAGAGAGAGAGAGCACAATCGATCTTGGTTTGAAATAGCCAGGAGCAGCCACAGGGAAGTCTGTTTGTGAGTTAAAAAGTCTTTTTTTTTTTTTGGTAAGTGTTTTACGGTGCTCGCAACTGCATAAGGTCATATGAGCGCACAGGACACATTAAACATTTTCAGTTGGTAGGAAATTTTGAATTTTGCCCGCGTGGCGGCAGAAGCCTACTCTTATCAATTTTATAGACCACCAAGGGATCTTTAACGTGTGCAACTTGCACACGGGACCTTCAAGATTTTTCACCCGTGTCCAAGAAGGCTAGGTGTAGATCTTTACTACCAGAAGATCAGCTGTGTGGCTAAAAGACAGTAGTAAGAAGGAGCAAAGGAGTAGCAGTAGAAAGGTTGCAGAAAGAGTCAAGAGCCCAGAGAAGGGGGCAAAGGTGAGGGGGTGGGGGCAGAAACTGGAGACGAAAGCAGATGACAGAACATTACTAGAAGACTGGAAAGGAGGTGAAAGAAGACAATTTTAGAGAACAAAAATTTTTCCGTCTCTACCCTGATTCGAACCCGGGACCTTTGACTTTGAATGAGAGGCAAACACCTTAACCTCTAGGCCCCGAGAGCCCCCGTTAAAAGTCTTTGAGTGGATTTACAGATTAGATTGTAAAAACACATTGTTATTATTGTCTAGAGTCTTGAATCATTTGATATCTAACATCTCTCTGCCGAGGTTTTATCTGCTCAGTACCTAGTTTTGAGAATTTCGACTTCTAAAATTTTGAGTTTCACATGTCAAGCTTTTACGAATGCAATTCTTTAACTATCTTGATATCGATTACAATTTTAATAGAATGAACAGAACATTTGGTTTCTGACCTGGTTTCTGATCTCACGTCCAAAAATGTCAGATAGAACTTTGTGATTCTAAGGTAGCAATCTGTTTTCTCATCTGTAGTTGTAGTGTCTATAAAATCCATTGATAAGAAAGTGACACGTAAGTGTGGCCATTCATGCGGATATGCTTGTCAAAGTTTAAGAGGTTTAAGATTATATATTATAGATAATTGGGATCGTCACATGGATTTGTCCTGTAAAATTAGGATCCTAGAGAGGGTGGGTGGAGTTTCTGTAATAATTTTGTCTTGAAGAAAGAAAGCTAGTAGGCCTATTACTATTAGACATAGACTGGCCACTGTCCAGTTAATGTGGACATTAGACAGGGATGCCATTTTTCTTGTTATTTTCATTGAAATCTATTTTCAAGCATATGGCAAACACATTTTTTCTGTCCTCTGAAGCTATGGAACTCGCCAAGCTTTAGCAGCCATTTTTTGCCAATTTTACCTTTACAACCATTGTTTTATTTTTTTATTTTAAAAAAAACAGACAAATGATCAAGCTTTAAGATGATATCAATAATTTCACATGACCAAAAATTGATGAGGGCCTGATTCCACCATGTCGTGACACATTGCTTTTTGCTCCTGCTGGTTTTCAAGCCACTGACATGTTATAATAGTAAGCCGTGTTATAATTGGAACTTTGAATTTGTAAGAGGAAGATGCGCGCATAAATAATGAAAGAATTTTGTTGAATGCAGTTGTTAGAAATGAATGTGGAGTTGCTGTGAAAGAGCTTGAATTAAAATGAGTTTGGGAACAGACCCTGTTGATTATGTGAAGTAGAAAGACTCAAATTCACTGAAATGTATTCCGCATTAAAATTTTGAGAAATTTGAGGAAAAGTCAGCCACGAAATTGAGCTATAAGGCTGGTATAGTATGTTTAATGTTACTGGTAGCACTACTGTGAACTGTTGTCTCATTTGATGTAAAGTATGAAATATTGAAATGTAATAAATTATGTTTTTGTGGAGAAAACCATGACTATATTTGTACATGTGCTTTTCTTTTGATATTGTGGATTTTTTTTTTTAGTTGAAGAATTCCGAGATTGTTGAAATGTGTTAATGAGGGTGAAAGTGAACCAAAATAAAATCTACTATCGATTAAGTAAGGAGTAAGTATGGGCTGTGAACTTCATACTTCATTGTGCTAAAATTCTTTTTTGAATGGTCATTTTCTCTTTTCCGTCCTTAAGAAGAGATATTACTTGTACTTTATGTACATGATTACAGAAATTATTGCATTCGGTTTCCATTAGAAATATTTTGAAGTTATCAAGATTTTTTTCAAGATCATCTCTTTGAGCCCTGTCCCCCCCAACCCCGCCCCAAGCAGCATGTGTGTGCGTGCGTATAGGTGTTTTTATTTTTGTGTGTGTGTTTGTTTGTGTGTGTATACATTGTCAGTGAGTAAACATGTTTCTGAGTGCGTATGATACATTACTTGTTTGTTTTTTAAAGTTATAAGCCTAAGAAAAGGATTGTACGACTGTAATTCAATATATCATGTATACCGGTATATCGATATATATTTTTATGTATGCATGTGTCTTTTGGTGCTTCTGTGAGTATGAAAGACACACATGTATAAATGTGTGTGTCTTTCATACTCACAGTCACACTTGCCTGCGGGCGGTGCTACTGACTGAAGTGTCTTTAGGCTATTCCCGACATTAATATGTTCTTATGCACAGTAGAATTGTAAATTGTAAATGGGCTGATTCATCAATGTCATGCTCATAACTGTGCCTGAACTGCTGCTTTTTCTTTCCTAATACAGTGGAATCCACTTATAACGAGTCCTGAAATAACGAGAAGTCTGTTATAATGACACTATTCTAAAACCCCAATTTTTTCCCCTTCTTTATTTTTGTAAATAAAATACTGCTATAACACAATCACACAAACATGTGAGTCGGTTATAGCGGAATATAGCTGCTGTTGTGCACAGCGCATAGGCCATTTATTCATATTTGTAAAACCTCACTAGTTTAGAAACTTGTTGGTTATATTGCGAAACAAAGAAGGTGAGAACTCACGTGTGCCAACAATGAAGGCTGGATCGAATGAGTGGGGAGTGTGTGGCATGCACAGACAAGCAGAATGCATCGTGTGATAGGCAAAGCTAGTATAGATTATATAGGCCTACCATGCCTTTCACTTCTCCGATACGGGGATGGAGAGGTCTTAGTGCTGTACTGTGATGGACAGAGCGAATGTGTGACGTGGGTGGGGTGTGGTATGTTCCCATTGTGCGCAAGCAGACGGAACGCACCACAGAGTGTGGTGGGGTAAGGGACAACTCGGCGGGCGAGTCAGCCTAGAGAACTTTCTTTCTGATCACCAACGCCGAGCTGTCAACATTGCTAGGGCTAGAGAAAGAAACCTGATTCGACTTTTGATCAATTAAGACTTAAAGGTCATGTTGAACCAAATCATCATCAGGGGAGATTACAAAAAGAAATAAACCGAAAACCAGACTCCAAGATTAGGCCTACTTTACTATTTCCCTTAAATTTATTACTGGATCCCGTATACCGAGAATCCTGCTATAACGGACATTTGGCACCGGTCCCCTCCCTCTCGTTATAACAGGATTCCATTGTACTTACTATCGTAATTTTTTCTCTACTTTTTTTTGTATGTTTGTCGTCATACTCTTGTGACCTGCTATTTCCGGGGTGCCTTGATAGTCGAAACAGACTTTGTGCTGTTGAAGTTAGAGAGGTGAGCCGAGTAAGCCTTATTCCCTGTAAGGACTTCTCTGTTGACATCCACCCCTTGGCGCTCATGTGACCTTAAGCAGTTTCGAGCGCCATAAAACCTCTACTAAAACTTTAAAAAAACCAGACACGCTTGCACTACAAACACACGCATGCACACCCACGCACAAAACAGTGCTGCGAGTGCCCATGTATGTGCATTATCACCCATCACACTTTCAAAACCTGTCCCGTATGTGTCTTGAGACGCACACAGAGAGAGACCAAGAGAGACAGAGAGAAAGAGACAGAGAGACTAGAGAGAGAGAGCGTTGCCCCTCAGTTCAGAAGAGACACTTCGAGATACCCATTATACAACAGAGACCTCCTATCTGAGGTCACTTTCTGGGCAGAAGGCAATAACACACCCAGAGGCAAAGGCAGTAGTGGTTTTTCAGTTTAGTTTTTTAAAGTACGGTAAGAGTTTGCAACACAATTCAGTCATAAGTGCCGTTGAAGATTAGAGAAGTTGCAAGAGAGTAACATACACAAAAAAAGGAGAGATAGGGACAATAGCGATAGATATTTGATAGAAAAGAAGGAGCAAAGCACACCAGAGCACCTGCCGACCACCCACAACAGTAAAGGTTTGTTCATCAAGGTCAGAAAGGCGTTATTATGAACCAGTAGGCCTACATAAAAAAGTTCACAATAAAACTCACAAACAAAAACACACACCACATTAACCTGACAGACCGTCCTGTATTTCGAGAATAAAGCAGAATTCATTAATATTCAAGACCAACAATACTATGCTTACAGACAGCTGATAAGTAATAAAACTGCCAGAAAACCTCTTTGTAACAAACATTTGTATTCATGAATAGAAACTGACCAAAAGAAAAGTTCAATAGTATTAAAATCATATGTATCACAACATGTCATTTTACATTTAGATTCTACTTTGTTCTTCTTTTTCTTATTATTATCATGATCAAC